AGACGTTTAATCGTTTGCTCTCTCAGTAGAATAAAATGATTGTTCTAGTTAATTAGGCATTCAGACAACGTAAGACGAAGTAACGCGCTAATCAGAAATTCGTAGGATAAAGTTTGTATGATTTGACATAAGTAATAATTGTTTGAATTTTGTTGATGAGAGATTCATAATTGACGAATTATTATAATCATTGCTAATTCCTTTAGAAATAGAAGAGTATTCTTTATGAATCGATTTGACAGAAAGAGCTCTTAAATGGTATAAAAACTCTTCTAGTTTAAATCTCGACTAAAAGAAGTAGTACGGACTAAGTAGACACCTGAGAGTTCACCACTTAAAGAATCTTCATTAATGTTTGTCATTTACGATTGAAAAGACTGACAGAGATTAGAACGATGTATCGATGTATTGTTCTTGTCATGTCGGTGAATGATTTCATGTTAATGCTGATATATGATAAATATTTGTCGATGTGTGTATACGTCATAGATATATAAACATATATATATATATACATATATATATATATATATATATATATATATATATACTTTATATACATTCGTTATACTTCATATTCAAGGATAAAGGAAGTATATTTCTCAACGTGGGTGTGTTCGATAAACCCTGGGCATCGATAATGTATTTCGAAAATTCTCATCTTAATTTTTTATAAATTTAATGATTACTATGATATTTTTACTTGAGAAAATAATAATAATAATAATAATAAAAAAAAAAAAATAATAATAATAATAATAATAATAATAATAATAATAATAACAATAAGAAGAAGAAGAAGAAGAAGAAGAAGAAGAAGAAGAAGAAGAAGAAGAAGAATAAAAACGGATGATAGAGTTACACGACGATGAGAGATCGTCATACAAAGGCCTTTGTGTGTCCCCTTTCATGAACGTGTCTCTAGTCAAGGTTAATGGATGCTTCTAATTTTACATACATACATACATACATACATACATACATACATACATATATACATACATACATATATACATACATACATACATACATACGTACGTACGTACGAACGTACGAACGTACGTACGTTGGGTACACTTAGGAACGATGAGGATAAGATCGCAATTAACCATCATAATTTGTTAAATGGTTGCTCGTACACACATCGAGCTGATAAATAAGATGTTAGAAGGGTCTTATCATAGTTTGTAAAGAGAGATAGATAGATAGATAGATAGATAGAGAGAGAGAGAAGAGTAGGATGGATAATCGATAGATTTTATGACTCGCTTGTTACGACTCGAACGATCGTATATAGGCAACGCCTTGGTCATTGTTGATTCATTAAAGTCTATTAACAGGTAATACGCTGTTATTGGTTGATATATATATACATATATATATATCAACCAATATATATATATATATATATATATATATACATGTAACATTTTTTTGTTAAATATATTATTATTTACTTAGTAGAAAATTGCATTATTAAAGATCAATTAGTTAGGAATAGAAAGACTTAGAAATGCATGAACATTATACGAATGTACGCCGACTCGTGTAAATTTTCAATGGTATTGAATTTATCTTTTCTTTTCTATTTCTTTTTCTTTTTTCCTTTTTCTTCATATAATACAATTTCTTTATATATAACACAAAAAAAAAAGGTTCGAATCGGCGTGAACAAAGCTGTGACGACGACTAACGGGGAAAGTAAGAAACGAATTAATTTTTATAACACATAGCAAATAGCGTTAAGTGTTATCAGAAATTCGTGTTATCATATTGTTAGTTATATCGAATGTGTAAAGTGAAATCAGCCGATCGAATTAATTCGGCGAAAGCACACCGAAGCGACGATTAGTTTACAACAATTAACAGCAAGCCTTTAAGAATTAGAAAAGAAAAAAAAAACAACAGAAGGAATTATAAATGAAAATAAAAAAAAAGAAGAAGAAGAAGAAGAAGAAGAAACAAAAAACTAAAAACAGGTAATAGATAAGAGAAAAAATAAAAAGACGGGCAATAACTTTCGTCGATCAGTGATACGTCGCAGGCACTAATAATGTATATAAACACAGAGAGAAATATAGAAAGAGAGAAAGAGAGAAAGAGAGAAAGAATCATTAATTACGTTCGAATTAACAACGTGCTTTAGCATGAAAAAAATTTGCATTTTTCTGCAAAAAAAATCTAAGCTAACTTATTCTCCTCTCCTCACGTGTCATTAACTGACTTGTTAATCTGAAACAATTAATTTGATTCAAAGAAATATAAAAACAAAAGCAATTACTAAATGCTTCGAAGATACTCGTTACATTGCTAATAGCTCTTGCAAAAGCCGAATGATTAAACATTAAGAAATCGAAAGTTAAATCTCAAATAACGAAGTAAAGGAACAAATTCATTGAGATAAGATGATGTAAATGTTTTATTACTTACTTCATCTTGTCTCTCTCGTCTTGTTCTTATTTTTTCTTTTTTAATAACGACATATATAAAACTTTATGTG